GAGAGAAAAGTAAAAGTAATCGTTGCTGAAACTGTTCACATTTAAAGAATCACCGAAACCGAAATGTAATTAATTACAATAACATATAAAGAGGTTCGAGAGGTTTTTTAACTGCGAGTTTTTTAATTCGTGAAATGAATCTATTGACTATAAATGGTAAGCTTTAAAAAGTGTAGTAAATGACAATTTTTATCAAATCTTAAAAATGTCTTTAGAATATATCTTTCGGTAGACGACTTAAAAGTGACATCTTTAGAATGTCTTTCAGATATGGTGTCGTTTTTTTTTATCTGTCTCAAGAATAAAAAAGTGGGCTGCCTAAGATCGTGATGCGCGTTCGAGAGCTCGTCATCTTTGTCTCCGTTAAAAAACAGGGAAAAAACAGGGAAGTAAAACGCGATACATCGCGGAAGGATATTTGCGACATGATCAATCGTTACATCACGCCGGTGCAACGTGAACCGATGTGTATCGACATGCCATCCGTCACGTCGCTACATCGCGTGCACGCCGGATTTGCCGGACATCGATACTTGACGCTCGCATTTATCCGCTCTCACGCCAGAAGATCACCGGTGCAACCCGAGACATCCCATGTTTAACTATACCATGCGAGCTGTCCACCTCGATTATCCTCGCGTGTCTCTACCCTCGCGAGGATATGCACGTGTCTCTCCTCGGGATGACAGCCCCGCGCATTGAGAGCCGTGTAATCGAATTTAGCGCGAGATTGCAAACGAGTGTCAAATGGAAGCTGTTCTTTCTCATCGTGAAGTTAACGTTTAGAAAAAAAAAAAAAAAACGTACAGAAAAAAAATTAGTCTTGAATCAAAGCTATATATTCTCATAAGTAAAAACGATTATAATCTTAAAGAAATTTTGGTTGTTTTTCTTTTTCATTTCACTTCACAACTTTTACGTAGCTGAGAAGGGACTTGGTTTATAAAAATTTCCTTCTATTATCCATCCACTTCTTAAATCTTATCGCATCTTATCTTATATAAAATACTTTTGTACCTAATTATTACATCCCTTTCTTATTTTATCTCTCTCCTCCTGCTTATTATTTTATTTTCTGTACTCTTATATTTATTCCCATATCCTCGAACTATATTTATAATCTATAGAGAAATTTTAACATTGCTGCAAGTACAGATATTCTCTAAAAATATTATAATAAATTATTCATAGACTGATGTTTAAAGAACACAGAATTAATTGCAAAAATCTCTACAAATTATTAATATTATAATAATCAATAATATAATTATAATCATTAATAAAACGTTATAATAAAACGATCGAATTTGATTAGAAAAATATTTCAGAAAATTCACGCGTGTCGTTTCAAAAAGTTGGGATTTGATTTTCTCCTTTTTTATATCATAAAGATAATAAATAGTATTTAATATATATTTATGATAAATGAAGATTTATTTTGAAATCGATAATCTCTCTGACTCTTGAAAATCGCTTGGTACATCGTAGATGAATTGCATAAGATGAACCGTCATACGAATGTTATGCGATAAAATGATACAATTGAGATTACTTCCCGATTTTTATGCAATTGATATTAATACGATCAGTAATCATTTACTAAATCTTACCTCCAGTCACGCTTATTAAGAAAGCACGTTTTTTGTTCAAAAGGAATTTAATTCCCAAACATTCCATAAAAATCATAGGCAAAAATGTTTTAAATTTCACGGTATTGAAATTTTATCAAATACGTTTGTTATATCAATGTTTTTTAGGAAGGTTTTTTGTCATTTTCGGGAGCTTCAAGAAACCGTGCAAGGGTGAAATATGACACATCTTTCGAACTCTTATTCTTCTTTCTTTCTTTCTGTTCTCATAAAACTTTTTGAAAACTATTCAATTTCGGTAAAGCGTAGGAGGTCATTTTTGCCTCTGTCCGAAGCGGCATCGCGATAAAGAGTAGACGGCGATAAGATCTGCGGATCGGTTGCGTGGGAGCGAGATGGCGAACATAAGGCGGCATTCCCACCTAATCGGACGAGACTGCAAAAAAACATTGTAAAAAAATATGAAATCGATCATGAAATCGATCTCGTCGGTGTCATCCATGTTGCAAATCATCCAAAAACTATCCTTCATATTTACGGCGGACAACGACAGTTCGTGTCTCCAGACAGCTCCGGAATATTTGACAGATGGACGCGCACCTTAATCCATGTTACCGGTGTTCGACGCTCCCCCCAGCCCCACTCCTGCCACGTTCCCCACTACGCGCGGCGCGAATGTCCAACCACGACGCATGCGTCCGTCATTTCCCAGTAGTTCCGATCGGCCGGCCAATCGGACGCGCCGCGTGGCGTCATCGCCGGCCAATCGGCACCGCTCCCGATGACGACAGCTCTATTTTCGGCCGGCGTGACTCACGGCATATAAGCGAGTAAGTTTAGTTGGGTGTTCACAAGTTGTCAGGCCACCGTGGCGCACAGGGTGATTCGCGTTCGCGTACTAACGCAGACCATACGTTCGCCGCTGCGTTGTGTTCCGTTCCGTTCCGTGGAGCAGAAATACGGCACACGCGCACCACGTCGCGGATCGTGAGTCATTGTTGTGTTGACAGCTGAGCGGGCAGACAGGAAGAATCAGCGGGCAGGCAGATTACCGCAAAGTTGCAGCGGCGTAGTAAACGCCGATAAAACGATTAAATTTTCCGAGACCTGTCGGAATCTCGATTGACTCGTATCGGTGCCGCCGGTAGTTGGTTGGTGCGCGATACACCGAGTGAGACGTGACAATCAGTCCCGCGAATACCACCGACCGGGTAGTGGCACGGTGTAGAATAAGGAAAGAGACGGCGGCGGCGGTCGACCGCGGATGAATTTTTGCGTACGAGTCGCGCGGCGGCTTGTTATGTAATCGCTGTAGCGCGGAGCGAAGTGTTTGCGCGTTGACGTCGATAAAGAGAAAGAGAGAGAGAGAGAGAGAGAGAGATAGAGAAAGAAAGAGACGAGGAACGTCGTAGAACTGCGTGAACGTGCGTTGAAGCAACCTCGAAAGAGTCCCCCGTTTAGTTCTTCGGGCTGGTGAAGTAAATCCGCGTTACTCCGGAGGGAACGATTGTTTTCCCATCCGGAGGCGAGAGAGACCAAGAGGAGTCGAGGGTGAAACCTCGGTGTTCGTATCCCGCAGCGAGTCAATCAGCCCGACGGCATCGATGGTGCGCAGCATGACGATGGAGCCGACGTTCTACGAGGACGCGAGCGTCTACAACACGATGAACGGACGCGAGAACAGCATGGGCCAGCTTAAGCGGAATCTCACGCTGGACCTAAACGGCTGCCAGAGACAGGGCTCGCAGGCCAAGAGGCCGCGGCTGGGCCCGTTGCCGCCCGTGCTGAACAACGCCACGCCGATTCTGAGTTCGCCGGATCTTAACATGCTGAAACTCGCCTCGCCGGAACTCGAGAAGCTCATTATGACGCAGCCGGACGGTCTGGTCACCAGTCTACCCACGCCGACCACTCAGATCCTGTTCCCCAAGGCGGTCACCGAGGCGCAAGAGTTGTACGCGCGCGGCTTCGTCGACGCGCTGAACGAGCTCCATCACTCCGACAGCTCGCAGGAACCCGGCAGCGTGCACGGTGCCACGTACACGACTCTGGAGCCACCCGGTAGCGTGCAGAGCACCGAGTCCACCTTGAGCAATCCCGGCCTGGTGCAGATCAAGGATGAGCCGCAGACGGTGCCGAGCGTGTCTAGCACGCCGCCGATGTCGCCGATCGACATGGAGAATCAGGAGAAGATCAAGTTGGAGAGGAAGAGGCAAAGAAACCGCGTGGCCGCTTCCAAGTGCCGACGGCGCAAGCTCGAGCGCATCTCCAGGCTGGAGGACAAGGTCAAGCTGCTCAAAGGCGAGAACAACGAGCTCAGTGGCATCGTGCACAAGCTAAAGGAGCACGTGTGCCGGCTCAAGGAGCAGGTTATGGAACACGTGAACGCTGGCTGTCACATCATGACTGTCAACAATCACTTTTGAAGCTCCCACGTCGACCTTGTTGCGTCACGTGCTTTAGGCCACCCTTTCCACATCTTCTTGCCTCCTCGGTAGCTTCCGCGAAGGAAACGAACAGTGAATTTTCCCGTTACTATTGGCCCCGATTGGTCTCGTCCATCAGATCGTTTGGATCTTCTCTCCCGCGAGTGCGACACCGGAGAAGGACCACCGGATATGTACATATGGACCTATCATTCGGAAACATTTCCTCTTCTTATCTCGACCTCAAGGAATTCCGGCGAGAAATTGTTTACATTTTTCTCCGAGCGATATCGAGAAACTACGAGAAGCAAAGTCTTATATCTCATCTATTGATATCATCCATGTTAGAAACTCAAGTTAAAGAAGCTGATATTTTTCGAGAAATGAGGGAATCCCCGTCGTTGTTAGCCTGGAAAAAAAGGAATTATTCGCAAGGGAGAGAAGAGAGAGAGAAAGAGAGAGAGAGAGAGAAGGAGTCCATCGTGTGCATCACACTTGCTGTTTTCTCTCTCGGTTCTTTTGTGGATACGATTGGGAGGAGATGATCGTGCGATCGACGACAACAGCAGTGAGCAGCAGGCGGAGCAGGAGGAAGAGAAGGAGGTGACGCGGTCTAGATGGAGAAGGAGGAAGGAGTGCCTTCGTACAGACGTGAAACGTAAAGGATGTTTTGGGAGAGTGGCGGAGTGTGCGCGCGTGCGTGTTGCGCGCATGCGAGAGACTTTACACGCACGAGCGATGGGCGAATGCGTGTATGTTGTATGTATGAGAAAGAGAGAAAGAGCGAGAAAGAGAGCGAAAGAATATGTATGTAACAAAGAAAAAGAATATATATGCTTGCGTGAAAGAGAGAGGAAGAGCGAGAGAGAGAGGGAAAGAGGGAGATCGCGCGAGATAGCACGAGGAGGGGGGGGGACCGCGGCGGCCATTTTGGAGAACGGAGAAGCAGGCGGGAGATTCAAAGCTGTACCGTGAGCTGGGTCTCTTCTCGCTTCTCTATCCTTCTCGTTGTTATCGAATAAGCGATTGCTGCCCAGTGATTCGTGGCTCCGTTTTCAGCAACGTTTCCGCAATGCGTATCCGGAAACGAGGTCGATTTCTCATTTGTAAATTGTTGTAAATTTTTCCACGTTGTAAATCGCGTTAGAAAAGAAAGGGCTCCTTCTTTCTTTCTCGACGGTGAACGGCGCAGTGCCGGTTTTCTTGTTTACGCGGTCCCCGCGTACTCGATTTCGCTTGTACATTTCGATACGGGGCGTTCGCTTTGCAAGTGACAGTAAGTCAAGTTTCGAAAATTGTTTCCTTGACACGGATACACTTTCTGTATACGCGCGAGTTTTTGCGCCTCCGTGATTCCATGAGTCGCGGCACTTTAACTAAAAGTGAGCGCCTCGTGCCAAGTTGCGAGGATCGTACGTTCGTCGAGTGTCGACGAGCCGGCGTTTCGTTGTCGCTTGTCTCGCGAACACACGAACGCCGGAAACGATGTTGTGCGTTTTTGCGGATCAATCAAAATGAGATAGTCTCAACTTCTCGGCGTTACAGCCGCGCCCGAGAGACGCGCGACCGACTTACATGTGATAAGCGCAATCAAACCGGGAGATCACCTTTGCCTTTTTTACCGAATGCACTTTCGCGAGAGACCCGAGCATTCCGCTAGTTTTGGAAACTTCTACACCTTGGTGCATACGAGTATTGACAAATTAATTCTAAGAAATAATACATTACGGTGCTGTATTAGCCACGCAGGAAACGTGTGTTTATAAGGCCGTCGTAATGACGCGTGTTCGAACGTAGACAGAATCGATTACTGGAAGCGTCGAAACGAGCTTGATTTATTGAATGACGAATTTTTTGCGTTTGTTTTTTTTTTTTTTTTTTTTTTTTTTTTTAATTGCACATAGTTTCAAATTTTTTACGATATATTTCTACGATAAATATCGCGAAAAGATTGAATTCTTAATGACGAAATTAAAGTATTTTTCTAATTGTGATTGGATATATGAAATTTATATGTATATTGAGAGGCGCGATTCCTTGCGCCAAGTGTATATGTAAATTTTTTCAATTGTTAAAATTGTGTAAAGATATATACAGAGGTTATTTCTGTATCTTCCATACACGTACTTTGAACCAGTCGATTGAAAAGATCATTGTGAATAAAGAAATACGTGTAATGTTTAATACTGTGTTGGAAACCATCGGCCGAAGACGCGTTCGCTATGATCGTAGCCTCGTCCCTCGCGTGAATCACGAGTATAACGCGATTGTTCGATATTTCTTATAAGATCTTCGATATTTCTCTCCGACGTGCCTCGTCGTCGTTTCGCCTGCAACGCGCGTTGCTCGGACGTTATCGAAGTAGCCTTGTTTTAACCCCGCTTTCGGAAGAACTAGCGCTATTAAGGCTGTACAAATAGAGTAGTGTTCGGGAGCAGTCGTTCGCGTTGAATTTGTCCTGTGAACTGTGAAAGAATCGTCATCCCGGGCGAGAGGGATGGACGCGGTGTGGACGCTCGTCGTCATCATGAAATTTCAGAAATTTATTCTAATCTAAAAATGGAATTTTAAAGTAAAAAAAAAAAAAAAAAAAAAAAAAAAAAAAAAAAA